CTACTGAGTCATTTAAGTGTATATTATGTCGTCCGAAGATATTTTTTTTACAACTGATGCTTTCTTGGAAGTGGAAATTCATGAGAGCGGCTACAAATTGTGTATTTTTTAGTATTCTTCATGGACCAATGGCTGACTATGTGTGGGGTGAAGGTGGCTTGGACCAAATTGTGACGCAGCTGCTGAATCAGTTTGAGGGCGGCTCAACTCCGGTTGATGCGAAACTGCTACCCAATTTGCCGATGACATCAGTGGAACAGAAACATGTGGACGGTTCGGTACAATGTACCACATGCATGGAAATTTTCAAAAAGGTTACTAACTTATCGCTTTTACTAAATTCTCCGAATACTTGGGATCAGCTGACTGTGCAGTCAGGTTTTCCTACAGTGCATATGGTGCTTTTCCTGTTACTTAGATCAGTGTGGGGTCGCTTTTTGGTGGGTTTTGATCCGGACACCCATTTTATAGGGTCATGGTTGCTATGCCTGTATAGTTCAATATTAAATGCAAAATGTTGGAAAAAACGCTAAATTTCTTTAGTGATTGATTTTGCCACTCCTAGTCCACGATGATCTACCTTGCTGGCTGCGCAATCTGTTACTCATCCTTGCAGTGATTCATTACTGAAGAATTATTGTAGAGACCACTTTGTAAAACTGCGCAGAATTCTTGACTGCTCATTCTGTTGATGGGGCTGCCGTTGCTACGCGCGCACAGTTCGAAGCTTCAAGATCCCGCCATAGCTTAAAACTTTCGGACAGTGGCGATTCCACATTTCCATGCTTCGGACTGCCCATTTGTTTTAAAGATTACGGTTCGGTCTACCAACGGTCGCCAATTGTTTTAGCAAACTTATCCCATCCTTCGTTTTAATTTCCTGGCTCCGACCGTTCCACTTTTCGGTTTCTTTGGACCGTTTACTTCTTCCAAGATTATGGTTCGACCTTCGAACGGTTTCAGTTTATTATTTCGAAAGCATCCCAAAATTCTGCTTCGTAAGCTCTTCCGCCTTATCTGCTGCTTTCTTGGGGTTATAAATGGCCGCTGATCAGCTCCACAACATCATAAGCGCAGTATTTATCCGCCCTCATCGCGGAAGCCATTACCTCTTCCCGTCTAAGCAATCATGAAGCGGTAGCTGTTACGACCGTCACACTGTTTAAGAAGTTATTCTGTTCTGTTGCTTATTCTGTTGTAACTTATTCTGTTGCTCCGTTTGTTTGAGGTAGTTATGAGGGACAGCATTTACTTTTATCAGCCGAAAAATTCTGACCTTTCTGAGAAATGTAACCTCTGTCATAGGCACATAAAATCGGATAATTTATCGTTTCTGTGGATGTATGATTTTCAGGACGAACCAGTAGCGATCCTAGACTGTCAACACATTTTCCACAAAGACTGCATATTGCCGTGGCTAAGGCGGCACAATACTTGTCCTATCTGTAGACAAGCA